TCCTAGTACTTCCTTTTTTTACATTCATTCACTTTGTTTAAAAGTACACTAAAACTAGGGGCGCCTGGGTGGCTCAGTTGGTTAAGTGTCCCGCTCTTGGTTTTGGCCCCGGTCATGATCTCAGGGTCATGAGATAGAGCCCCTCATCAGGTACAGAGCCTGCTTGGGATTCTCGTCCCCTCCCCACCACCCCCGTTTCATGCACGAGTGCTCTCTCTCAAAAAAAGTACACTAAAACTCTAAAGAATGTTAGAACATGTGTGGTTTAGCTTTCATTCCTGGTTTTGTTTTTTTTTTAATCTTTATTAAAGACTCTTAAATATTGACTGCCTTTAATGGGAGATGCCATTTTTAAATTCCAGGCAGCAAGTTTAATGCAGAATCCTCAAGTTCAGCAGCTGTAAGTATATTTTCCCCTCCCATCTGCCAGGCTCCTAATTTGAGCACATCGGCTCCACATGATAAGTGGTACACGGTAGATGAATTCCAGCCAATTAGAACTTAGAGCCATTCACATTTGGCCTTCTACACAGCGCGGGTATATTTAACTGACTTCTCCTTAGCCAGTGTCCTACTTGTTAAGAATATATACCCATCTCAGTGATGTATTTCTTGCCTATTCTAGAATGTCAGGAATGATGACAAATGCTATTGGGGGACCTGCTGCTGGAGTTGGAGGACTAACTGACCTGTCTAGCCTCATCCAAGCGTAAGTGTTACTTAAGATAGAAATAGTAAAAAAGTTTATGTTTTACAGCTTGTCTCTGAAGTGAAGGGACCAGGGGGCTTTCTTTTAAAAATTTTTTGACTGTTAGTATCAGTGGCCTCATTAGTTACTCAGTCTAAAGAAATTTATTAACATGGAATTTTCAGATTGAAGGGCAGGAATTCAGAAGATCTGTACCCATGAAAAAGTTTTTTGGCAGATTTGAATAGCTACTCAAGGATATAGATGAAAGTCAAATATATGCTTAAAGTATGTATTAATTTAGGTAGACTCATATTTAAAAATCATGTATTCCATATATTAATGTCCCAACAACTTAGGAAACTATTTTATTTGCACTTTTTCAGTACATGTCATCACCAAAGGAACTCCTTGATCTTCTCATTATTTGAGCACACTACCTTCACTTCTACCCAAGTTGCTTAAGATACTCTGCATTTTGAACTGATTTTTGAATCTGTGTGTCATGTTGCCACTGGAAATTTTATATGAAGACACAAGGACCATTTGCTTTTTGTGATCGCAACCACGTAACCCCACTTACAAGATTGCCATTTTTAGAGTGATCTTTACGTGGCATGATTCTAGTGATATGTAACACTTGCAGTTGAAGAATACACATGGAGGAATTTGTATTAAGATTCTTTGCCTTTGTAAAAATCAGTTATATCAGGTGACATATAGGTGACGAGAATGGGTGTGGCACCTATCATACCTGATGACAAGAAAAATTCCTTGCATTGTATTTGAGCACCTACAACGAAAGCATGTACTGTTCAGCCCTTTATTTGTGGTTAAGCCCTAGTGGGGGTGGATTTCACCCTGATTTCAGGAAGTCACTTTTTACCATGGTTGTTTTGTTTCTTATGAAGAACACTGCACTGTAATAATGCTATATAGAGGTTATTTGTAACTGGAAGATACTAAAATCAGGTTTCTATAAACAGATCTAAGATCTGTTTTTATAGAAAAAGTTCCCTTTGAGTAATACCCACATCCTCTGCAGTTCTCTTTGCATGGGTATGATATGACTACAAGTTCCCTAATTCATACCACTTTGCCTCTTCACTACAGGGGACAGCAGTTTGCTCAGCAGATACAGCAACAGAATCCTGAACTTATAGAGCAACTTAGAAATCACATCCGGAGCAGATCATTCAGCAGCAGTACTGAAGAACATTCGTGACTTGACCAGGGACCCTGGCCCAGAGCACAAATGATTATGGCTCTTACGTGTTTGCTGTAGATAGTGGCCAAAACAAAGACACCTAAAGAATCAGTCTGTCTAGACGATAGGTTTAGCATAAAGACTTGAACATAACGTGACTCCTTTGCAAACAAATGATCAGTAGCCCTGTGGAGTGCCAGTGTAGTACTGGACAGGGTTCCATTTTCAAATCCTCATCATCGTATTTGTATGTTAGACCTAATAGCAGAGTTCATTTATTGAACAGTAAGGCTGTTTATTGGTGAGCTCTCCAGCTCCAGATTCCCGTATGCAAACTTCTTTGAAAGATGGAAATGATGAAGAGGAAAGGTTTCTCATGCTGGTTTAGGAGAAATATCCTGGCCACTGAACAGCGTGTCTGGAGAGAAGAAATTTGTTGTCTAGATTTCATTTGGAAAGTGCTCTCAGGACTGAATATAGATCACAGGGCCAGTACTGTCTTTAATGCTGCTTGTTCTGATGGGTAACAGGGAATACTGAGAGCTGGTGGAAAGCAGCATTTGGCGCAGGGGTTGTTTTTTGAAAAGGAAAATAGATGCTGTGAATGTACAGAGAGTGAAGGTAGGCTGTTCAGGTTTTCTGCATAGTTCTTAACTCATCTTGCCTGCAGTTTGGTCTTGATAACATTAGCATGGCCAATTACTCTAAGAACATAATAAAATACATTTAGAAATCCTTAATGGTTCTTTAGGTCCTTTGTATAACTATTCCGTTTAATGTACACAATTTCTCCAGTGGTGCCCTTACCATGGAAACTCTCAAATATATTTACATTTAAATAAGCCAGTGGTTTGACCCTCAAGTTAAGGATTTTCTAAGTGGCATTTAATTATGTGCATATAAATACTGATTTTTTAAAAACTCACTAATTATTTGATGGATTAAGAAAAGCTTCTATCACTAACATTGCTTGTTCATGTAGACCTTTGCTGTAATTTGGCTTGGCATGTTGCTTTTATGCTTAATCCTAATTTGATGCAATGTAAACATAACAGGGGACTTAAAATATTTCACTGAAATCAGAATTCATAGTAGTTAATGAAGAAATGTGGCATTAAGTATTAATGGCATGGCTTTAACTACAGTGATGGAAAGACCATTCTAACTGGAATTTCTTTTGTTAATTATGGAATTGGTAAAGTTGGGTGAACACACAATTTCACAAGTGTTGTGAGAGACAACTGAAAAAGTAATACAAAATTAAGTTAGTAATACTCATGATGATGAGGGCTTTACTATAACTATTGTCCTCAGAAGACCTGGTATCTGTAAGTTTAAAAACCAACTTTTCCTTTCTTTCCCTTGTGAGATTAGAACAGTGGTTCTGTAATTTCATTGTAAGAATTCATTAAAAATGCAATTTTAATGTGTCCTGTAGTAAGGCCTAGGAATCACCATTTTAAATAGCATACCAGGTGGTTCTGATGTAGGTCCAAGGACTCTAATTTAGAGGAATGGTTAAGTTAGAGACTTCTCCTCAGACCAGCAAATGCATGACTGCCTATGTTCACGCTATAAGGAAGACCCATATAAATCTATAGTTCTGGCCAGAGAAGAACAGGACTTAAAATTTTAGGCCCTCTGAATGAAATCTCCTATATTCCATCTAAGCCAACTTAATTTTTTATAAAGTTAAATTCAAGTTCTAGTGTTCAAGTGTTTGTTATACAGAATGAAGTACTGACTATTCACATGAAAGGTAGGGCTGTTCTGGAAAAAGAAAAGTGAAAGGTGATCCACAATTAAAAATTAGCTACTCTTGGGGCACCTGACTGGCTCAGTAGGTAGAGCATGTGACTCTTGATCTCAGGGTCATGAGTTCATGAGTTCAGGCTCCACGCTGGACATAGAGCTTGCTTAATTAAAAAAAAAAAAAATAGCTACTCTTATCCAGTGGTAAGAAAAAGTTTCTATCAAAACTATCTTGAGTGCATTAAAATGCTTTTATATCAATAAAATTGGTAAGCCTCTAGGTGACTGACTAGGAAAAAAAGAAAATACAAATCAACAGTGCCAGAAGTGAAAGGGGATATCACCACAGCCTTCTGGACTTTACAGGGATAATCAGAAAATACAATGACCAACTCTAGGTCCATATACTGCACAACTTACATGAAACATTAATTCCCTGTAAGATAAAAATTACCAAAGCTCAGTGAAGAAACAGATATCCTCCAGAAGAGCAAGCTACGGGCCCAGATGATTTCAATGGTAAATTCTACCAAACATTGACAGGAGAAATACTATCAATTCCACACTATCTCTTTCAGAAAACAGAAGAAGAGGAAACACTTTCCAACTCATTTTATTTAGCGATTTACTGATACCAAAATTGTTATAACACATTATAAGAAAAAACACTTTAAAACAATGTCTTGATTTGCTAGTATCTATAGTTGAGGTAAGCCATTCTTTTTACATAAAGAGCTGGTATATTCCTTCCATTTCAACTTTCTAGTTTGTTTCTTGGTTGATATACCACCTATAACAAATTCAATCTAGGTATACCTTCATCACTTTGGAATCACTGCAAATTATTTCAAGGAAGTTTTGTGCAGTTTGATTGTGCTAGCTACTCTTAAAATTATAAGGGATGCAAGAGGACATGAAAGTCAATCTTTATATATATTCTACTTAGGAATGATTGGCTTCTGTTAACCGCACTTCACTGTAATAGCTGTGGCTGTCATGATGCTATGGAAAACTTAAAAAGTCCTTTTTATGCAAATGACATTTTCATTTAATGTGACAAACTGTTTATCTAATTTTTATAATATGGTTTAAACAGATCCTAAGATGACATTATCTAACCTTTATTTAAAGAATGGACAATGTGTATCATAAAAGAGACTTTGTAATTAAATCAAATTATATAGCAGATTCCAAGTGACCATTATATGTTACTTTTAAAATTTGGAACAATGAAACAGAAGGTTCAGGCATGAGAAGATGCTTAAAAAAACAATCGAAATACACAGTGCAGTGGATATATAGTCTTATCATTTAATCATCCTTACTCATTCTGGAAGAAACACAGACTTCAGCTTTATACTGCTTCCACTTTATTTTGCACAGGTATTTCATTATTAGTGCAACTTAAGGGGCAAATCTCATTCTGAATATAGCTTTACTCTGGACCAAATAATTTGTCATGGCAATAAATAATTATGCATTTAAGAAAAACCAATTTTTGTATTTGACTTAATGCACTCTAACATTTAAGCAATTATATTTACATCCTTGAATTTCAACTTAATGCACTCTAACATTTAAGCAATTATATTTACATCCTTGAATTTCAACTTACCAAAATAAGTTTTTATTTAACAGCGTAAGCTTTTGGTTTCCTTACAAAATATCGAAACTTATGTATTCATGTTGCAAACTTGTTTACAATCTTAACTTTCTTACTCTTTTGTTCCTGGAATAAGTAAATCACTGTGATTACATACAGAGACAGTTTTATAGTATTAATACATGATGTAGAGTTCAAAATCAAATAGCAGAGGTGGAAATCCTTTAAACATGCCTTATGAAAATAAGGGGCTTATTTTTCAATGTGAAAAAAAACCCAGGACTTTTTGGCTTAGAATTAGAAAATTATCAGGATTCTTAGTTAAAAGTTAACAGAGTAATCAACAATCCAAGAAATTAAACCAATTCTGATCCGCTGTTAGTAACTGAAATTTAGACATGTGTGTTAATATGTAACCACAAACATAGGTACATACAAACAGAATAACTGAAAATTGAGGAGCACTCATACTGTGTTAGCAATATCCTACTCTCATTGTCTTAAGCTTTTTCTGCTGACTGAGGAGTTAGGGAAAAAACTGGGGTTAATTGGAAAATTTTAAATAAAGTATTGTAAGAATCGAAAGTTTTAAACAACTGTATCTTTTGGACCAAGGTCAGCAAACGACGGCCTACAGGCCAAATCTGGCCAGTTGCCTGTTTCTGTAAACACTGCCTGCTCTTTTTGCCTCCTGGCTGCTGACCCACTACAACAGCAGAGTTGAGTATTTTCAACAGAAACCACATTTCCTGCGAAGACAAATATTTTGTATCTGGCCCTTTACATAAAATGTTTGCTAACTCCCCGTTCCAGATACTTGCTAGGGACAAACAGCCTCAAATACAGAGCTTTTGGAGAACAAAGTCCAATGGTTATCTAAAAATGGAATAGGCTGAGTGTAGAAAATGTACAAATGTCCATTCAGAATATAACTCACAAGATAAAATCCGTAGATGGTTCTTTTCAAAACAAATATTTAATATTTTAACTTTGGCAGGAAAGAAATTTAAATAACAGGTACTTATTTTTGTTGTAGACTTGATCATTTCACAAAGGTGACAAAAATACAGAGAGTTCTGTGAAATTCAATGAAAAGCATAACACTGGAAATCTTCAGCTCTCCACTTTAATGGCCGAAGATACCACACAGACCTGTGCGATGTCATCATATTCATATGTTCTCTTTAAGAACGTGTCTGTTAGTCTTAAGCCGGAGACACTCTATTGAGAGAAAGACAGAGGCATGAATTTTCATTCATTGGTAATTACCAGAGAAAATGTGGAAAGAGTCAATGCCCATGGGTTAATAGTCCCCAGATACCGAAATGACTGAACAGAGTGCGCACCTGCAGTCCCTGTACTGAAGACAGCAGAGTAAGGGCAAGGCAGAGAGAGGAACTGGGATGCAGCTTTCCAAGCTGTCTTCCTGAAATGCCACACCAGTGGAGAGAATTGGTATTGCACATTTCCAAAACCAGATCCATAGTCCTTTCACTGCTGGAGGAATCAGAAAGACAGGAATAAATCTTGTTCCTTTCACAAAGTGGTACTTGGTGTTTCTTCCCTAGTGCCAGTGAATTTGTTTTCAGGGTATCCATGAGAATAAAAAGCAGAATCAGAAATAAAAAGCTGTAATTGTCATTTTTATTTCACTGAAGACAGAATCAGGAAAATAAAAGGAGATGGCATCTTCTAGGGTTTAAAGTGGCACTGAGATTGATCTGCCTGACTGGATATAAGCCTTCTGGTTCTATTATTGAATCCTGGCTCCCTGGTGCTGATCTGTTAACAGCTCTGCCATTTCTCTGGGAGACTTCCAGACACCTGTGTCTAATCTCGTTATGTTTTCTATTTCTGTTAGGTACTCTACAGAAAAGAAAAAGATAAACTGATTCTTTCTGCTATTTAACCTATGTTCCTTTACCATGCAGATAACACAGAAAATGACAAGATTTCTAAGTAAATATTATTCAGGTTTGTTCACTGGTCACATGATAAGACTGCTTCTGCTTATAAGTGATATCACCAGTTTAGCTTAAACATGTTAAAAAAAACTTTCAATGACGGCATACACATTTTTTTTTTTTTTTAAATAACCAAGGCTCAAAGTAAATTATAGGCCTCTGCTCTACCACCATTTCTGGCAACTTTCAATTGTTTTAACTCTTTTTCCTCCTAATTGGCTCCTTATTTTGGCCATTAATTGATTTGCTACACCTCAAAAAATGTAAGCAAACAAAAAATCCAAAAGCACACCTATACACACAGGGTCTTGACCCTGTGCATGTTGCTGTTTAGTGAACTTCCATGATGTGGCAGGCAATGCTTTTCCAATGGCAGGTAAGACATGATCCCTTTTATTGAATAATGCATAATCTAGTAAGGGAGGGACTATATAGCAATATATGAATGTCACTAAAAAACTATATAAAAATTTGCTAGGACAGAGAAAGGAATGGTTAACTGCATGGGAGGGTCGCTAGCTTCAGAGGGAGGAAGGTATTTTTGTAATTCTGAAGGCTAAATATTTCCTATATCATAAAGTTGGAGTGGAAATGGAATTTTAAAAGATTATATATTCAGATTATGTGGGATGGGATTCATCACTGCAATAATTTCAAAATGCCCCAACAAGTAATAATATGAGTTTCACTACAAGTGACAGGACTGGAATTTAATTCTCGGTTTTTCTGGCTTCAAAGCCCTGTGCTCTTTGCATCCCAACAGCTAGATTATACTCTATTATCAAGGCCCTATTTTATCTATGATTGATCAAGCCCTTGTATTAAGTTCATAACCAATTTTTACTTTCTTAATGCTAAAGATACAGTTCAGGTATAAGTGTAATTCAGAAAAATCTATCTTATTACATTAAATCTATAATGTATTATTCCATAAAAATGTGCCTCATTCATGCTTTAGTAATCTGAAGAGTGAGGAAGTGTAAACAATGAAAAGAGCATGGACTCTAAAGTCAATTAGACCTGGTTTCAAATTCTGGCCCCATCTTTTCTAGCTCTCTCAGCTTGAGTAAGTCACTTCACCTCTGAGTTGGTTTTTCTCTTGCATAAAATGCGAATAGCTAGTACCTACCTCACAGGGAACGATGCATGAATGAAATAAAATACAGAAAATGCCCAATAAAGTAGGACCTCAAAAAATGCAATGTATACAGCTACCAGATGAAGGACTTTACAGTATTCAACACCAACATAAGAGAAGGCTTACGTCAAGAGGAAACTTAAGACAGCATACTCAAAAGGCATTAATTCTCTTTGATGTAGGCGAGGAGGAAAGGACACCCATCCACAAACACTGCCATTACCTGCAGTTTGTTATTTTACAGGTAATATGAAAAGGTTCTTCTAGGTTTACGGTATCTGGGATTGCCTCCAAAGACAATCTAACATCTCCATAACCTGGAGCCTAAGAGAAAAAGCAACAGAGTTAACATACATCTATTATAAAACCTTTCCACTTTAATAAAGGTACCCCACTAGCACATTCACTCCTCAACAGCTGGTACGTCTCCAAGCTGATGTTTGGAAAAAATACTTCCCAGTCATTCTATTGTTCTCTGTTCTAACTTATTTTGCTGCTATTGCCTGTGGAACAACACTATGGACCCTGACTGTGTTTGCGATGATTATTCCATGTTCAGCAAGGATCAATAGGTAAAATAGTAAAGAAACTTCAATAGGTCTGATCTTAAAGGGATGCTTTCGAAAGATCCTATAGCTTATACATACACGTAACTCTAAAAACATAAGGTTATTGCCTAAACAGAGTAAGATTGCTGTGAAAAGATCCAGGAAAACAAACAAACAAACATGTCCATCCACAAAAGACCATAGAAACATCAAAGCTTGGAATATCCATGGCAAGATGATAGCTAATGGCTATATTTTAAAATAGGCTCAGTGATAATCTTTTTTCCGCCCCCACTTATTACCTGAAATAGTAAAAGAAGAGTAATTTTTAAAGAATATATCACAATATTTAATATTCAGTATAAAGGGAACATTCTGTAGCATACTCTCACTAGCACAAGAGAAAGGACTGTAGCCTTCCCTACTTCAAGAGCAGAAATTAGGTAAAATATTCAAGTAATGCTTATAAGATAACTTTAACAGGACTCACTTTCTGAATTTCAGATGACTCAGATTCTCAAAGTCTTTAAAAAAGTATGAACTGAGTTGGTGAATGTAGTAAGTCCAAGAGTTTCAGGACATTGCAAAAAAAACCTTTAACGTAGTGGAAGTCAGATGAACAGTGAGCATGAGATACCACAGGAGGGAAAAATTGGTGAGCAGTAATTTAATTTCTATTTGGTAGAGTAACAATCCATGTATTATGGATAAATTAACATTTGAACATTTTTCATTCATCTCAATACCAAGTTTCTACCTAGAGACCAGTAAAATTATTAGTCTTTTATCTCTTATTTATGGATAATATTAATGCTTTTTACAGCGCTGATTTTTAGTGATGCACCTAGGAAAATTTAAGCTGTTCTAACTATCTGACCCCCAAACACCAAAACCCCCTCCAACGTTTTTTCTAGACTCACCATTCGCTGAAGTTGGCTGGTCTGTAATCTTCCCCTTTCACCTAGATTTGTTTTCCACACTATATCCAATTTTCCAATTACTGTTACTCCTTTAATGATGCCTGCTTTTTCTGCAAACTCCTTCTTGGGTTTTAGGCAGTACAAATACTGGCGTGTATCCATGGGCTGCAAATACGCTCTTGACCCAAATGTAGTTACACTGAGAGGGGTGGAGAGAGAGATGGAGAAAATTCTCTAGTGTCTTTTAAAAGAAAAACCATGGCTGTGATTGTTCCTTTGGACAGGAACTGAATGATTTACCATCCAAATATCTTCAATAGAACAGATCAGTGGTTTCAATACAAATGAAAAAGGACCTGAACTGAGAGGATTTATTTTTCTTTAAATTTTTCAGGTGACAGGGAAAATCTTTAAGTTCCTTATAATAGAATGCAATACATTACCTAAAATACTGGATATGTATCAATTACCTGAAAAAAATGCAACAGAAATCAAAACCTAAAGTATTCTGTCCCATTTCTCTATAATTCAAAGAAAATAGTTTGGAAAAAGAAACATACCATTGTAAACGAAGTGATCATTTTTTAATGAACTAAAAGATCAGGGGAAGACTAGAAAGTTACTGTTTTCCTCAGGGGGGATTTGGAAGGCTACAAACTTTACTGAATTTAACCATCATAATAAGATAAAAAGTAAATGTTTCATTCTTGATGAATGAAATCAGGTACTTTCTCCAGCTATTACCTTCTTATCCATATTAAGGTCAACTTTATATTTATTTATTCTTCCTCTTTTAAATCACCTACAGAAAGACATATGTATTTCATTTTTGTAAAAAAACTAGATCTATTCCTATGCCCACTCCTTTTAATGCTGACCGAATATTCTTTTTTTTTTTTTTTAAAGATTTTATTTATTTATTTGAGACAGAGAGAATGAGAGAGAGAGCACATGAGAGGGGGGAGGGTCAGAGGGAGAAGCAGGCTCCTTGCCGAGCAGGGAGCCCGATGCGGGACTTGATCCAGGGACTCCAGGATCATGATCTGAGCCGAAAGCAGTCGCTTTAACCAACTGAGCCACCCAGGCGCCCACTGACAGAATATTCTTAAAACTCACCCTTCACCTTTATCCTTTCTAACCTCTCCATCATTCCTTCCCATGCCTCAATTTTATCATTTGCAGGAAAGGATGAACAGTTTCAGATTTACCTCACTGAATTATAAAAATTAAAAGACAGTGCTTCCAACAGCAAAACATAAAATGCAAATGGCTAGGATCTTTGTACTTTTCTGTGGAGGGAGGAATGAATGGGTGAAGCACAGTTGAGTTTTAGGGCACTGGGACTATTTTGTGTAAGACAGTAATGGTGATTACATGTCATTGCATTTGTCAAAATCCACAAAATGTAGGACATGAGTGAACCCCGAATGTACACTATGGACTGTAATGAATAAAAGTTATCAATACTGGTTCATCAACTTAACAAATGTGCCACATTAAAACAAGATGTAAATAATAAGGGGACTGTGAGTAGAGGGAAGGGCATGTGGGAACTCTGTTTTTTGATCAATTTTTCTGTGAACATAAAACTTCCTAAGAGGGCGCTTGGGTGGCTCAGTCAGTTAAGAATTTGCCTTTGGCTCAGGTCATGATCCCAGTGTTCTGGGATCCAGTGGCATGGCAGAGGGTGGGGGTGGGTTGGGGGGGGGTCCCTGCTCATTGGGGAGTCTGCTTTTCCCTCTACCCATCACCCCCTGCTTGTGATCATGTCTCTCTCACTTTCTCTCAAATAAATAAAATCTTAAAAAAAAAAATTTCCCTAAGAAAAATAAAGTCTATTAATTAAAATACAAATTACAAACCATCCAAGAATAAAAGTGTTAGGAAAGTTCATATACTTAAAAAGAAACACTTTGTAATTCATATTTACCATTCTCCAGCTTGGCTGACTGAGTTTAATTCTGCTACATTGTACATTATCGATGGTTCCAATGAAACTTTCTCCATAAACATGGGTGAGGTTGTAATATTCTGAATCTGGGCTTCGAGAAATACTTCATCAGTCTGAGGATATGAAAAAAATATCCACCAAAGTGTAATGGTATTTAAAATATTTACCTCAACAAAAATACCTGATCTATATGAAGAAAAAATATTAACCACAACTGTGATTAGTTCATGCCTGCAAATCAAAGTTACCATAATTAATGCAAGAAAAGAAATCTTCATCCTAACGTAATTAACAGGGGCAAAGTCAAGTGTTAGTTAACTGATAACTTGTCAAACAATGGATGGGGGATAACTGTAATATTTTTTGTATCAACATCCAAAAATTGTTATTTTACTGGAATTTCATTCACAGATACCCTAATTCTTCTAGTAAGTCATTAAAATGTTAAAATGCCATTTAGTAAGATGAATATACCTATGTACCTATCATTTCAGTGATATGTTAATATAATTAGGTCTCCATTATATATATAATATATATTATATATTCTATCATAATATAGTTTTCAATGGTCATATTATTTCAGTTTAGGAAGTATAGGGACCACTAGTACAGTGAATAATCAGTCTATTCTATAATCTTAAAGGATTTAACTTTTTAATTAAAGCAATTTGTTAGTGGTCATTAGTGATTTCTTGGTTCATTTAAAATGTATACTTAGGGCTAAAAAAATGTATGTGAATTATACTTGACAGTCATAGAGCTCCTAAATCAAACAAGGTATTCTGTAGCCTTAGACAGATTTGAAAACTAATGCTATTCAGCAATATTTTAATGAGTGGGTAATTTATGTACTTCTATACAAAATTTTTATTTCCTAAAATTTAGGGATTAAATTTAGATTATTTATATTAAACATCCTTCTTTTTATGTGATTTGGCTTTTTTTGTGTATAACTGAAGGGTAACAGAGAACTTGGTTCATTTTCGAAATAAACCTATATAGAAAGTGACACACTAAGGATATTCAATAATTATTTTGTTCAAAAGTTTCAGAGTAATATATATACGGAAATAAAAAAAATAAAATATGACCCAAGAAATCTGGCACTAATAAACATTTTAAACATTAAATCCAGGAAAATGGAAATCATTTGCAAAAATGTAATGATGAAGTTATAGTGTAATGTATTATATCATCTAAACTAAAACAGATTCTTTAGTTCTTGGCACATGTGCTCAAATGAAAACTAAAATACAACGATTTATCAGTCTAAAAGAATGTGCCACTTAAAGGCATTATCCTGTTACTTTTTCTCAAAAAAAAAAAAAAGTAAATATATCCCATCAATCCATTGCTTTTAAAAATATAACCACAAGCCCACATTTCAAATTTAAAAATGCAATTTTCTGCTTAAATTTAGGAAGAGCTTAGATAAAATGAAAGAAAAACAAGCAGCATAATGGAAAATTAAGTTAGTTTGAACAGTTAGTACAAAGTAATTTGACACCTGAAAAATTAAGAATTCTGTGCTACAGCAGTTGATGTTGTTGTTATGTAAGTCATATATGATAAGCAAATGCTGCTTATATTAAATAGAAATTTGAAAATATGACTTTAGCCAACTTGGGGACATTTGAGGTTCTTCCGTTTACTAATGTCAAAGGGCCAACTTTACCTGACCCAGACATAAAACTAAAACCACTGTGCACTTGAAGATAAATTTCAACTAGAGAGTTTACCTCAAAGAATTATAGTAAAGAATCTTAAAGGAAAATGTTGAAAATCCCAAGGCTATTTTTAACAAGGTTAATATGCCTCTTTTAAAAAACACCCAAAGGAAAAACACTAAAAATGAGAGCATAATTGTTTCAATATGATAATTTAATCTTCAATTTAATTTTTCCCCAGAGAGGAAGATAATCAATATAATATAAAAAGTACAAATTACATACATCTTTTAAAGTCACAATAGGTGGTATTCACAACTAACTTTGTTTTTCCACTATGTTTTGTAAAGAGAGATTAATTAGGCAGAGTCAAAAAGTGGTAAGTAAGAAAAGCATATAAATTTATAATAAAAAATCAAATTACCACAGAACTGAGGTCACTCTAATGGAAAAATAAAAAAGAAAAATTAGAAAAATCAGAATTAAATGTTAAAGAAAAAGAATAACTAACTTTAAAATAAAATGCATTTCTGCATTTTTTTTTAATTTTCTAAACAAGACAGCATTAGTAAAATAAAGAAGTAAACAGAAAGTAACAAAGAAATACGACATCATTTTTCTAAATACGTGAAACTGCTATGGTTAAATGAACAGAGAACATTCTAGGTGAAAATTTAAACAGGAGCAAATATTCAAGGACACATTTGGGTGAGAAAGGTATATCGCATGCCTTTCTAGTTCTAGAAATTCTTTACCTACACTGTAATTCTTCATGGATTACTTAGGATGGTTGGTTATACACTCTCCTCCACAATCAGAGTAGTTATACACTGTACTGTACAGCTTCTCCTAAATTTATCTACTAATGGAAGCATTTTTTCAAGGAGCATCTTCAGTGATTAGAGTTCCATGCATTACTCTTCAGGAAATGCTGGGCTAGACCACATCAGACAACTGAGAGTTTATTCTTTTCTTGTTAATATATTTTATAGGTTGTTTTTTTTTTCATATATATTTCTAAGACTACTTATTCATCAAGGCTCATCTCAAATGTTACCTCTTTTGTCCAACCCATTGCTAAAAATATTTTTTCACCTCTGATGTTCCCGGAGTCTAAGTATACTTTATGATCTACGGGGTGGTGCTTACATTGCAATTTTCTCATGTTTGTCTCCTCCACTAGATCTAAGTACCCTGAGGATTGGGAAGATGTCCAGTTTATATTTATTTCTCTCTAGTACCTGGTATGGAGCCCTGTTCCCAGCAGGTGACCCAATGTTTGAATCCTAGTTGCTAATGTCACCAATCTTCTTTCCTATTTTAGAAGATTACAACAAAGTTTCTCATAAAACTTGTTTTCCTTTCAGTGATTCACATATTACTAGAATTATTAGGAACAGTGTAAAAAAACATGTTTGAGATCAATGTGGGGCTAATAAAAGTCAATGTGTAAGAGCTATGGCACAGAGTAATAAACATCACCTACTGGTATCAGTGTGGTTTGTGAACTCCTATAATTTACCTGAATTTTCTAGTTGGGGTCAATAGAATCTGCTTGGTCCTACAGGCTGAACAGTATTTGTTTGCCTAATAGGTAATACTGAATATCCTAGAGACCCTAAAAATACTATTTGTTTGCTCCTGGTTTTTAAAGAAATCTCTATTTTCAAAGGTTCAGAATTTCACAAATTTTTTTAGCTGATGTTTGTTGGCAAAGATTCCAGATTCTGTTTATAATGTTAACTGAAAAAAGCAGCAAACTGTTACTATGATTAAAAAACCAGTATTAAACATAAGTGAGTAAAATCTGAAAGAGAATATGAATTAATGAAAAGTCCATTATTTTTTTGGTGTGGTAGAATTGTGGGGTTTTTCCCCCTTCCTTTTGGGGAGTATATCACATTTATAATATTATTCATGGAATTAGTAATTTAAAAAACTGCAAAAATCACTCTGAATATTAGTGTTATAAAACTGTTTGACAAGTATCTTAATGTACCACCACATTTGCAGCAAAGAAAACCTAAAATAGTTTAGTATGTGCCTTCCTAGGAGTCAATTATAAGAAAAAGACCTCCTACAGCCCTATTGGTTCTAATTTGCAAACATACATATTCTAGCAGAATAGTTACCTATCTTCCTTCATACTATGGATGAACTCTTTCCCAGCAAAATGATAAATTAAGACCACTTAAAATTCAATAAGCGGAATAGCTATACTATAATTAATCAAAAGTAGTCCAGTAAAACAAAAAAGGCAGAACACACATGTAGTATGGCAACTCCCTTACCCCCTGAAATGTTAACTCTAAACATCTAGTAATCCCCTTGATGAGACTGTATCCTCCCATGAAATATGTATATTCTTCACTTATGTACTCAATATTCCATGTGCATTTGTAATTCTGTTTAGAATGCCTTCACTGCTTTGACACTTTTATGTTTCCAACATCTATTATTTCCAGACTCCGCTCCAGTTCCCCTTCTCATCTTCTCTGAAGACTACTGTAAAATCTCAGCCCCAGACTTCCTATAGTACTTCAAATTCACTATATATACTATACTAGGTAGTTTTATTACTTTTTGCACTTTTTTCTTTTTTCCTGCTCTACTGCAGGTCAGATTCCTTATCTTAGACACCTCCTGGTATGCCCAGTTGTAGTACAAACTACACTGAATAAAAACTCAGATGCTGATGGTAAAAATACATACCAAATTTGACATGGTACTACAAATTTCTGATCATTTGGTTTAGAGTAATAAAGACAGAATTTTTATTTTAAAATATTGTATTTTAATATTTCTGAATTTATCACTGTGGTATGAAAGATGAGATTTTTGCAGGAGTAAGGGGCCCATTAGGAAATCTGCTTTTTGTGGAACTCTAGAAGCCAAGATAAAGTAGAATTTTTATTTTATATTTTTTTAAGTAGAATTTTAAAAAAGAAATCCGAACAATAAAACCTTCCTTCTATGGCAAAGTCTATTTTATCTCTTTTGTTTGAACAGAAGATAAACTTCTATTCTAAAAGTTACCATATTTCTATTTTTGCCAAACTTGTTTCTCCCAAAAAGTATTTCTAACCATTCAATGAACTTAAGAACCAAACTGCACCTGACACACTGATTTCCCAGGACAAAGAATTTAATTTCCTGAGCTCTATTTATCAATATTTTCCAAGAATATTAAATCATTTTTGCAGGATTATATTGACTACTTCAATTTTTATGGTATCAGAATCACACTGTAAATATTTAACAAATTGCTCATGTTTTTAGACAGCAATAATAATCATTAAATGGAAGTTTAGGGCAATCATTTAATGAAAGGGGGTGAAAGCATCATGCAATTAACAAGAATAAAATTCAAGATATACTGATTCTATGTAATTTAAAAACAGCAGATTAAAAGATCTACAATGAAATTATCCTCTTCTGATTGAATTTTAGGCTCATTTTTCACAAATAATTCACAGTCCTCTCAGCAATTTACTTCAACATGAAATGAAATGTAATACATCAGAATTTTAGTCAAATAAGATCTTATTGTTTAATCTGAATTCCTATTAAGTGCTGAACACTTACCTCTGCATTGTAAAATTTGGTTTTCACATCCAACGGTTTGAGAACCTAGTTGAATAAAGCATATCAATCAGAGGAGATTATCATTTGACCATTTATTTTTAATCACAGGGCTTAAATCTGTCAAAGGCATTTTCCAATTTTAATTGTAAAAAGCTTTTTTAATAGCTATGCAATTATTTTTGCAAAAACAACAACAAGAAAACCAAACAACAATCCCAAATACATTTCTAAAAGACAACCATCATTTCTTAATTGGGTGACAGTCACATGAGTTACATGTGTGTTTACTTCATAATATTTTGCTAAACTCAATACATGTATTTTATGTATTTTTCTATATGTATTCCACAAAAATATTTATTAAAATAAGCGGACAAATCTTTTATTTTCTTTTAAAAGGCATGCAAAATCTTAATGATACAGCAAAGCAATAGCAAAATTTTTTCCTTTTTTTTAAGAAAGTTTTGTTTCTTCAAGTAATCTCTATGCCTACCATGGGGCTTGAACTCAAGACCCCAAGATCAAGAGTCACATGCTCCACCTAATGAGCCAGCCAGGTGCCCCAAAATAAATCTGGGTACATTTTATTTATCTATTTATCTATTTATTTTATTCATTCATTCATTCATTCCTACTGATAGTACTTTTTCTTCCACTTAAAAACAGGTATGAAAAATATATATAGCATAATATCTAGATCTAATTTAGTTATATATGATCATCTCATCCCTTCTTGCATATACTTGCCTATGTTAAACCAGTGGTTTTCAACTATTTTAATCATGGAGTGAACACTGTGTATAAATACAGAACTCTACCTACAACTTTGGACTCATGGAATACTGGAAGGAAGCTTGGTCCACTCAGCCCAAGTCAATTATCTCTCATTTAAATATTTCTTTAGAAATTTGATATGATTTACACTTAATTTATCTGGACTTTACACTCATTTTATCCCTCTTGTTTATTCTTGTGAGTTCTGTCAAGGCATAAAAACAGGACAATTTTTTATGGATAAAAATCCGTAAATGAGGGGTGCCTGGTTGGCTCAGTCAGAAGAGTGTACGACTCTTGATCTTGGGGGTGGGAGTTCGAGCCCCTTGATGGGTACAGAGATTACAAAAAAATAATAATAATAATAAAGAAACTTAAAAAAAACTGCAGGTGAAATATTACGCTGACAATGATAATTTCTCTGCTTTTACTTAATTTAGTCTGACTTCAGATTTCTAGTAATATGACAAATCCAAACATATGAAGCTACTTGCTTTATCTGGAGCCTCTTTTCACTGCAGTTAATAGGAATAACTTCATAGGGGGAAAAAAAGGCACCTAAAAACTATTTACATTGGCACATTTAATACCTGAAATTTGAAGAATTTTCTAAAATACATTTTTTCTCCACCCTGAGTTGTATAGCTCACTGCACACACCAAGCTGAAATGGAAAGATATCTTTGAATCATCTTTGATTTTGTTTAATAATAAATCTAATACACCTCAATTCTACTCACAAATTTGGAAAATATTAATACCAATGGTGTAAAAGTGAAGCCAAATGAGCCTAGAGTAGGAAAAAAAGTTTTAGCAGATAAAAATGTAATTCCATGAACAAGAAAGCTCTAATTAGCAAAATTAAATATGCCATGGTGAAATATATTCCAAAACAAATCCCAGAATAATCAAATAGTTGTTATGTACAAATTAAGTGTTCATATAAATTAGAAGAAAAAAATACAAATTCAAAAAAATCCTAGGATGGGGAAAGACTTTAATATAAATGGGCAATGGAAAGGAAAAGTCTTATAAATTTATAAATTGAATAAATCAAAACCACATTAAAACAAAAAGCAGACAAAATGGGATAAAATACTTCTAACAAAATGAATCTCAGAAGCAAAACATTAGAGTCTTGCTCAAAATAGGAGGAAAGGATACATAGATAGATCACAGTACCATAATATGGCTAACAAAAATGTGAAAATGTTCAGCCTCACAAGAAGTCAAAGAAATAAAATAACGAGATACAATTTTTCTACCTCTTAAGATTTGAAAAAATTCTTTACAGGTGTTACCATGATTGGTGAGGGCTTAGAGAAAGTGACTCTCTACACTCTAGTGGTTATAAGAGATTTAGAAAACAAGCCTTAAGTAAGAGTCTTAAAAATGCTTATATGCCCCTATGGTAAACCCACTACAAGCAATCTACCACAGGAAATACTAAGGTGCTCATCACTGTGTTATTTATAACAGCAGGAGACTAGAAATAATCTAAAGTCCAACATTGGTGTAAACAAATTAAAGTATATGGTCCAAGAATACAATATAAAACTATCTTAAAAATAATGTTTTCAAAGAACACTGATTCAAGTGGGAAAATGTTCACAGTGCACTGAAAAAGATAAAACCATCTTGATCTGATCAGAATTTTGAAAAATATTATTTAAATTATTTATACAAATCTGTTATATAAACGCACATAAAAAAACTAAAAAATCGTATATTAACATTTTAATAGTGGTTACACTCTGTGGTGACATTACAGGAACTTCAATTTCTCCTTTATAAGTTAAGTGTACATAAGCCAGGTACTAGGGATACAGAGTTGATCAAAAACACAGTAACTGCTCTCAAGTGCTCACAGCAGGAAGCAGTATAGCAGGGTATGGGTTTTTTGAAGCCAGATTTAGATTTGAGTTCCATGTCATTATTTGCTATTTAATTCCAAAAGAGACTCATTTTCTCTGAGAGGAGGTTTTTACACATTTAATAAACTTCAATAAACTTAACAAATTTTTAATAAAATTTAGTCATTATAATAAATATAACAAAAAATTTAATAAATTTCAATAAACTCTATTTCAACAAATACTGACCACTATTCTCTGGTAGATCGTGGGGATACAGCCGACTTCATGGAACTCATACTCTAATGGAAATGACAGGCACTAAGTAATTAATTTTAAGTAGAAGACCGAAAAAATGACAAGCTGTGGATGTTATAGAATACATTAAAAGGGGTATTTAATTTAGTCTTGGAGGTCAGGAAAGCCTCTTCGAGAAGTCATGGTGAATCTGAGATATGAAGAAGTGGAAGTAAGCTAGAAAAAGAACAGAGGCATTCCTTAGGAAGGGAAGAATTTATCTCAAGTCACAGAGGAGTGCAAAAGAAAGAGACTTCCAATACGACTCAGTATAAAGGAGGGAAGAGTGAGAAAAGGTAAGAACTAAAGCGGCTGGTAAGGATTAGGTTCTAGAGAACTTTGTAAAGCCAATACAAAGAATTTTCTAAGGGTGGTGGTAGATCACTGAAGAGTTAAGTGACTTATCCAAGACCACGTAATTAATAAATGATGGAGGTGAAATTTGAACTCTTTAAATTTTGACTCCAAAGCTTATACCAACCACAGAATATATACCAAGAAGTGCCTACAAAAGAGATGTCACCACAATGAACTGATTAACAGCTAATGTTATATACTTCTTTAAGTCACGGAAGAGAGGCAAAAATGGTGACATAGGTGGAGATGAAGAACGGGGGGAGAATGACATACAGTTAGTAAGAACTAACAGGACTTTGTAAATTGATTGTATGTGGGGATGGTAAGGCAGATGAAGTCTAAAATTACTTTAAATGGCTGAAATTTTCATATTTGCCTCTCAGACAAAGAAAAATAGAGATTCACACTGAAATATATACATAGGCCAGGAATACATAATTTGAGATTTTTTTCTCATAGCTTGTCTTACTTTGGTTCTGTATTTCTGAATTCTCAGGGTAAAGTGTATATACATAGTTAAATACAGAACTGAAAAGTTGTACAGAACTGAAAAGTTGTAATTTAAAAATAAACACTATAATGTCAGTTCCTAACATTTCAAAAAATAATAAATGTACTTTCAGTCAGAGTGGTACCTGGGTTTTAAACATCTGTGTGGCTTTTTATTTTTTGTATAAGATTGTCTGTTGATGCAAACACGAAAACAGAAATAAAGGAAAATAAATTAACATATTTTCCCCTATAAAACAAACATTTTGTTTAAAGTCATTTGTGGTAAGCACGTAAGCTTGTAACATTAAATTCCTTCCTAAGTAGATTCTTAGGCTTGATGCTAAATGTACATAAAGCAAAAATTTCAAATAAAGGCATACATAAGTAAAAGCCTTTGAGAACTAGTAAAATTAATCCTTACATGTGTGTTCCAATTTCCTTTACTTCATGGTGTATGACATCATCAATACAACAATCAGGTTTAAGTTCAGCCACTGCAGCATTGGAGGCTGAAAGATTTAAACGCTGAGAACTTGTCTGAAGATCAGCCTTGAAAAAAAGAGATTAAAAAAAAATCCAAATGAGACTGGTTACCTACAGGGTGTGACTGGGTATGAGTGAAAATAGGGGAGCAGGCACAAGGAAGCAGGGTTGACGGGGAGCAACACTTCTTGGTGTCAATCTTTCTATAGAGCTCTGTAGCTTAGAACCATGTTCATGTTTCATACATGCACACCCAAATTAAATAAATAAAAATCAGCCAGGAAGTAGGGGGAATAGGTAATGGAATACAAATAGTACCAAATGAACACAACCACACTGGGAAGGAGGAATGGGAAAAAAAGAACTAACCTAAGTTAGTTTGGCTAACAAAAGCTAGAGACAAAAAGAATGGCACACGAATATTGTACTCTAGCTAGTGTGTTTGCTTGTTCACAGGGGTATGGATTAGCAATTCTGCAACAGTTATGTGTATACCAGGACTAAACAAAAAAAAATACTATGGATAACAAGAGAGAAGCTTCTACTTTGGAGAAAAAAAGGGGCAAATAAGGAAAGGGAGAAGGCTGCAACGAAACTTGTGGTGTTGAGTTGGAATCAGAGGCATCAACATGAATATATGGTTTTAAAACATACATACAGATGGATATCCCAGGGACAAATAGAGATAGATGTGTACACATGTGCTACTGTATAACACTAAAAGATAAATTACTATCAGATGTTATTTGTAGAACTAGAGATCAGCATTAAGGTCACCAACAAAGAAAGGACTATCTTCTCTAAAATAACACCCAGTTGCTTTCTATTACATTCCCCCTTTATTTCTTTTCGAACATTTCTCACTCTAATTGTCATAAATGGCATCCTCCCTTAATCTCAGTCACTTTCTGTCACATTCAAATTTAACTTCCCTTTTAACATTTACCACAATCTCTAGTTACTTATTTTTAGTATTTTGTATACCTGTTTCTGCCCACCCTATCGAAAATCTAAGGTCTATGGAGGCACAAACCTCTTTTGTCTTCTCTTACTCACTACTACAACCTGATGCCTGACACCATACTAGGTAATTAATAAATACGTGTTGAATACTGAATGATGTTATGATGAAACTTTGAGGCAAATGTTAAGAAAAATTCAGAGAAAGTAAAGATCATGCTAGGTCATAAGGATTAGGGGAAGTTTTTATATAAAAGCTTGGATTCTATTAAGTCTTTGTTTTTAAAAAACTAACAGGTTTTCTGCAGTTAATTCTAATCTAACATTCTTAATGCTAGGCACTGTGAAGCGGGATATTTATTTGTGCTATCTCTTTGGTCGTTATATTCAGTTATAAAATAGCAGGAACTCAAATTTATTGGGCACTCTCTATGTGCAAGGCCTTGTTCTAAGCTCATTATTCATTTAATATCTACAATCCTAAGTAGGCAGTCATACTATTCCCATTTTACAGACAATAAAACCAAGGCACAGAGAAGTAACAACTTCCCTAAGGTTATACAACTAGTAAGTAACGGAACTAAGATTAAAAATTCCTTAAACATTTTAGAAACCAGAGAAGAGGGGGTTAAAAAAAAAAAACACTCAAACCCATGGGCTTTCTGTCCAGTATGTTTTCCTCTGTGTCATTTTTTTAAGTGTCACAACTATAGTATTAATATATATATGACTTAACACTTGCATCTTTTTTTCTTTTTCGCTATTATAAATAATGCTGCACCAACCATTTACTTTCTTATTACCTACTATAGGCCAGGGCTTTGCCAGGAGCTGGAGATACATCAGTGAACAAAACGAACCAAAATCCCTGCCTGTGTTGAATTTAAATGTTTGGGGAAAATAGTAGTGGAGAAATAGAAGGCTGGCTTGGGATAGGGGAATACTTTTTTTTTTTTCTCTCAAGAGGGGCCTGACCTCACAACCCTGAGATCCAGACCTGAGCTGAAATCAAGAGTCGGAAAGGGAGATGAACCATGAGAGACTAGGGACCCTGGACCCCGGGAAACAGAGGGTTTCGGGGGGGGAGGGGCACCTGGGTGGCTCAGTTGGTTAAGCATCTGTCTTTGGCTCAGGTCATGATCCCAGGGTCCTGGGATCGAGCCCTGCATCGGGCTCCCTGCTCGGCGGGAAGCCTGCTTCTCCCTCTCCCATGCCCCCTGCTTGTGTTCCCTCTCTGGCTGTCTCTCTCTGTCAGATAAAGAAATAAAATCTTACAAAAAACAAAAAACAAAAACAAAACTAAGCTGACAGTAAAAGAATAAAAAAAGTACAGATTCACAATCTCTCTTCTTGATTTCAAAATTCCAGGAGTTATAAAAAAAAGTTTTGAGGACAGAAGTCTGGGTAGCTGAAGTAATAGCAGCAGTATAATTATGATCTCCCAAGTCATCCACAAAACAAAAACAAAAACAAAAAACAAATAAAACTATACTAAACCTTGTGTTAGTATAAGTAGAAAGCAGCAAATGTCCAAACTTCAAATTACCTGTAAGTAGACAAATATCAAATTTTTGCAAGCTATTTCTCATGCTCTTGCCATAAGCCTTTGCAAAGAATAAGAGAAGTTCAGGAAAAGTTGAGCTGAAGAGAAAGAGAAGAGATAGGTCTAACACTGATCTAAACCACTTCCAGAAAGACAAAGTCTATTCTAAGCGTGAAAATACTGAGAAAGGGCATTACTGGAAGATGAGAGCACGGTCTATAGGAAAGGGACGTAACAGTTGTTTGACAGGAAAGAAAACATGTCAGGGTTTTGAAAAAGAGTCAAAAGGAGAGACACCTTTTGGAAACTGTGGAGGGAAGAGGAAAAATTTAGGACACTACAATTCACATGAAAAGAGAAACTTTGGGGCTCCTGGGTGGCTCAGTCGGTTAAGCATCTGCCTTCAGCTCAGGGCATGATCCCAGGGTCCTGGGATCGAGCCCCACGTCGGGCTCCCTGCTCAGAGGGGAGCCTGCTTCTCCCTCTGCCTGCCGCTCCCCCTGCTTGTGCGCTCTCTGACAAAATCTTAAAAAAAAAAAAAGAAAATTTGAGGAACACACAACCCCTTCCTCCTCCATCAGCCTTCCCAAAAGCCACCCAGTAAAGAAACCACACTTTGTTCACAATGCTTTAAGAGGGTATTTTTGAATTAGGAATATCAAAGCACCCAAACTACATTTCACAGAATGCAAAGCTACCAACAGTCTTCATCTATACAAAAAATACTATAAAAGTAGATGAGAACTGAGACATTCACTGATAAAAACTGCCACCCAAAACCAATAGTGAACGAACTACTGTATACTAAGAGAAAACTATAGTAAAATACTCAAACTGAATTAAATACCCTCAAGAGAACATATGAAATATAAAAAAACATCTAGAATGAGAAATTTTAAAAACAAAGCTAAATTTGTTGGTGGTGTTGTTTTAGCATGGGGCTAAAATTTTTTTAGAGAAGAATGTAAATAGTTGATTGAATTCAGGAAAGAAAAAAAGGACACAAATCATATTAGAATCGTGAAATGACAAACGAAATAACTGAATACAACTACCATTAAAATCCATGAAAACTTTCTAGAAATAAAAGATCTAAATCTACATATTGAAAGGGTCCACTTGCTATCAGAGAAATGACATCAAACGACCAATTCTAAAACATACAGGAAAAAAAAAATCCCCAGGGCCTCCAGGAAAAATTACCAAATAACTTACAAGGCAAGAGAATATGACTGGCATCAGTCCTCTCAAAAACAGCATATATAGCTAAGTAACAAAGGAGCAGCATTTTCAGAAAACATAAGGAAGGAAAATGTAAATGAAGGATTTTATATCCAGTCAAACTGTCCTTCAAGTATAAAAACACTTTTGGACACTTCAAGGTTCTGAGGATATTACCCCCACAAGCATGTCTGGAGCAATCTACTTGAGAAATCTCGATCCAATCAATATGCAAATAAAAATGGGAAGATACGAGAAGGGGGAAAAGGAAAGTGGTCTAAGCAATAGGTAAGAGTTAAAGGACACTATTAAAGACTAAAAGCCCTACAGTAAGCAGCCAAGTAAGAAACAGCCAAGGGGGGATATATCATAAAAGGCATAAATACAAAGGCAAAATGTAAAACAAAATACAAACTTCCCTAAATACAAAAATTATTTGAAAAATAAGGAATGAAAACACGTTGCGTGGAGAAAAAAGGCATAGCAGATGTAACATAATACGCTTACTATTTAAATAGAAAACAATGTGACATATTTGAAACTGACCATATAAACTTATAGATAAACGTGAATGGACTTAATTCATCTAATAAAAAAATTCAATATGGCTCACAAAGCAAGACCCAACTATGTGTAATATAAGAGAAACATAAATAAAAACAAAATGAGAAAGGCTAAAAATAAAAAGATGGACAAAGGCACACCAGGCAAATGGAAACAGTAAACAAAACCGGGTAGTGATACAGACACCCCAACTAAGATTTGAGCCAAAAAGCATTAAACTGGCAAAGGAGGAAACTTTTAGTGCTATAAGCCACAATTCAAAATGAAGAATAACAAGCATAAATATCTATGAACCAAAGAGCATAGCCTTTCATAAAGCACAAAGTTTAAGATACAAATAGAAGCACACTAATAATGTGAGATTAACATGTCACTTTCAGTACAAGACAGATCAAGTTGACCAAAAAAAAAAAAAAGGAAGTAAAGATACGGGAGACCTACCAACACCATTAGTAAGGTAAATCTTATGGATCTACATATCTAGTTTTACAATGGATAATAGAAAATACACCTTCTTCTTAAGTACACATGGAATATTCATTAAAAATTAGTATTAGGTCACAAAGAAAACACTATCAAGTTCTGTAAGCAGGAATAAAACAAGAACAAAATTTATCACAATGCAATTAAACAAACTATAGATCATTAACCAGAAAAAAAAACCTCCTTTCTATCTGAAAAACCTATTAAACAACTCTTGGGTAGAAGAGGAAATAAAAATAAAATTATAGAATTCTTTAAAAAGTAATCAGAATGAAAATGCTACATATTAGAATCTGTAGGATATGCTTAAAGCAATCAGAAGAAAATTCTTTTATCAACAGAAATAAAAGAATAAAAATTAAATCCCCAGCTGAGAAAGCTAGAAAAGAACAAAGTAAAAAATCAGAAGCATAAGAAAGGAACTTGTTAAAAGCGAAAATCAAAGAGGTAGAGAATAAAAAAACATTAAATGTAATGAAAATAGTTTTGAAAAAAAAAATACACAAAACAAAAGCTAGTTTAACGAAGAGAGGAAAAAAAAAAGGAAGCAAAATTATGCAAAATAAGAAATGACCAGGGGAAAAATACCAATAGAGAAGAAATTTTTCAGAGACTACTTTGTAGACCTGTATGCAAATACTACCTAAAGTGGATCATTTCCTAGAATAAAACAGTTTAACAAACTGTTATACACCATTAGACACAAAAAGCTTAAACTGATCTCCACAGGAAAAAAGGGCAGATGTTATTAAAAATCTTCCCCCATTAGACATACAAGCTCACATGATTTCACAGAATTCTTTAAACCCTACAAAAAGCAGATAGTCTAAATGCTCCAAATACATTGTTTCAAGGCACTGAAAATGAAGGAAAATTATCTAAATCTTTTACTTATTTATTTTTAAAAGATTTTATTTATTTATTTGACAGAGAGCAAGAGTGAGAGAGATCACAGAGGGAGAGGGAGAAGCCGACTTGCTGCTGTGCAGGGAGCCCGATGCGGGGCTCGATCCCAGGACCCTGAGATCATGACCTGAGCCCAAGGCAGATGCTTAACCAAAGGCAGACGCTTAACTGACTGAGCCACCCAAGCACCCCCTAAATCTTTTTTTAAGAAACCATAATAGAGACATCTAAAAGCTAATAGACAACATAAAAAAGAAAAATATAAACCAGTATCATGCTGTGCTTCCTCACCTATATCCTAAGTTATTCTGATGTCAAAAACGGCTTATATGTAAATCATGAATCTGAATGTCTTATCTGAGAAACTAAGACAACTCTTGGTGGGCACTGCACAATAAACATTAGCTACTATTATTAAATACCACTGCCTTTATGGAAATTAAATCTTAATAAAGCCAACATAAATATAAATAGATATTTTATACTAAGTATGCTATTATATTATTCACTCTTTTAAATACTGACTTAAATCTTATGTACTTGTTGATTTATTCACCTTATGAAAATAAATTAATCATTTACTGAATGTCAACTGTATGCCAGGAAAAAAGTGTATGTTCTCAAAGTTCTCACAGTCAGACCTTTTCATAATCAATGCAGAGGTTGGCAAACTTTTTCTTTAAAAGGTCAGGTAGCAAATAATTTGGACTTTACAGGTCATAATACAATCTCTTCGCAACTCTGCAACTCCCCAGTTGTACTCCCAGTTGTAGCTTAATATCTGCCCCAGATAATACATAAATGAATGACTGTGGCTGTGTGCCAATAAAACTTTATTTATGGACACTGACATTTGAATTTCATATAATTTTCACATCCAAAGTAAGACTGTTTCTTTTGAATCATTTGAAAATGTAGAAAACATTCTTAGCTCCAAGGCCTTATAAAAACAGGCAAGAGACCAAATTTGGCCTGCAGGCTATAGTCTGACAACCCGCAGTTTAATAAAAGGCAGAAACTCCATCCATATTATGATAAACATACAAACATCTATGAAAAATTTTGCATCCAGTTTCTGGTAGTTGGGTCATATATGAAATTTGGAATATTGGCTCTATGAGGTCTTTTTCAATGCTAATACTTGCTGATCATTTTTTTTTTTTTTTGAAGATTTTATTTATTTGACAGAGAGAGAGACAGCGAGAGAGGGAACACAAGCAGGGGGAGTGGGAGAGGGAGAAGCAGGCTTCCCGCCGAGCAGGGAGCCCGATGCGAGGCTCGAACCCAGGACCCTGGGATCATGACCTGCTTGCTGATCATTTTAAAACTCATTTTAATTGGACTTCCCTTTTGGCAATGCTCTAGTAACATAAAGTTACCATGTGGAGATAGCTTTGATGACTTCTCCCTAACCTAGAGTAAATTTTTTTTTTTTTTTTTAAAGATTTTATTCATTTGACAGAGAGACACAGCGAGAGAGGGAACACAAGCAAGGGCAGACGGAGAGGGAGAAGCAGGCTTCCTGCCGAGCAGGGAGCCTGATGCGGGGCTCGATCCCAGGACCCTGGGTTCACGACCCGAGCCGAAGGCAGACGCTCAACAACTGAGCCACCCAGGCGCCCCTGACCTACAGTAAATTATTACTTTCTTTATGCCCTTTCTCTTTCTAAATAAATTTCAGATTGTTTAATTGAGTTAGCATATTCTACCTCTTGATTTCTAAATGACTGCAAAAATCTTCTAACTGGTGTATTTCCTACAAACTATCTCAATCAATGCTTTCGTATCAGTCTTCTAACACGGTGTGAATACCTTTGCTCAAAAGTCCCCACTGACTGCCCACTGCCTTAAAAAAAAAACACACAAAAAACCGCTAAAACCCTTAGCTATAACCTGGCTTTCAAGATGCTCCACTTTATGACTACTGCACATCTCTGTACCTTACCTACTTCTTCTATCAAGTGAATTCTGTTCTCTGCTACAAGAACACTTTATGGATGCCTATGCCTCTGCTCCTGAGTATCATGTTCCTCTTTTTCTCTAAATCCTACCATTCTTTGAAGATCCTGTTGTGTTCCTTCTCCAATAAGTCTTCGTGATGATGCAATCCTCTGTGATCTTTCCTCCTCTTCCAAATTTTATGTTAATCACAAATTATTAATAAAAACTTAAACCTTTGGTATACTTTCTCACCCAAGTGATCATAACCTTTGAGGATAAGGAAAAATGATTCTGTGCCCAGCATATTATCTTATACCTTTAAGTGTTCAATTAATGCCTGTTGTTAATGACAATGAAAAAGTCCAGTATCAAAATGCATGTTTCAAAAACACAGGAATACAAATTAAAAAGTTAAAAAAAAAAATATATATCCCAAACAAGAATGCCACTTACTTTTACTAATATATCTTTTACAACTTGATTGCTATCATTATGAACGCTGATATAACTGGAAAAGGTCTCTCCCAAAAATATATTCCTGTGAAATAAAATAAACTTTTAGGCAAAAATCCACTCAAGTTTTAACACAAATATTTTTTTTTTTTTAAAGATTTTATTTATTTATTCATGAGAGACAGAGAGAGAGAGGCAGAGGGAGAAGCAGGCTCCCTGCGGAGCAGGGAGCCCAATGTGGGACTCGATCCCAGGACCCTGGGATCATGACCTGAGCCGAAGGCAGACGCTTAACCATCTGAGTCACCCAGGTGTCCTTAACACAAATAGTCTATATAAGCACCACTGAGATCTTAAAATGGAGAAGAATTTAGTAAAGGACAGTGATCAGGTGAAATACTGTTTCAGCATTCCTTTGTGTACTTTAGGCTGCTCATTCATTACCCAGTACAGTTCAAAATACTGATATAGCCTATAAAACATGATATGTATCTTGGCCCTCAACTACTGTACAAACAGCCTGTTTCTCTAGACATAAGTCACCGAAATCAGATCCATGTTAAAAGTCTTAGGATTTGGGCGCCTGGGTGGCTCAGTTGGTTAAGCGACTGCCTTCGGCTCAGGTCATGATCCTGGAGTCCCGGGATCGAGTCCCGCATCGGGCTCCCTGCTTGGCAGGGAGTCTGCTTCTCCCTCTGACCCTCCTCCCTCTCATGCTCTCTGTCTCTGTCTCTCATTCTCTCTGTCTCAAATAAATAAATAAAATCTTTAAAAAAAAAAAAAAAGTCTTAGGATTTATTACTGAAGAGACTACAAAAGGCAATTTTTAAAATAGCTTATGCCCTAAATCTAGTAGAGACCTCAGTAATTGATCTGAGTATTTTTTACCAATTTGTTTTATTTTTCTAAGTTATTCTAATACAAATAATGACTACTTTATATTTTTGTAAAGATTTATAAAATACCTGTTTATAAATATATATTATACAAAAATCTATAAATATATTTTACGTTAATTTTTTAATATGAATATATTTCCAAGCTTTCAAGACACCAGTCAGTGACCACATTCTGTAAACCTTTTTTAAAAACCTGAAAAATCGGGGCGCCTGGATGGCTTAGTCAGTTAAGCGTCTGCCTTCAGCTCAGGTCATAATCTCAGGGTCCTGGGATCGAGCCCTGCTTTAGGCTCTCTGTTCAGCGGGGAGTCTGCTTCTCCTTCTGTCTCTCTCTCTGTGCTCCCCCTCTCTCAAATAAATAAAATCTTAAATAAATAAATAAATAAATAAATAAATAAATAAATAAATAAAAAACCTGAAAAATTCCATGTGGTCTTAAATTCTCGCAGTTGCAAACAGAGTAAAACCAAGGGCTTCTACCTCATTAATAGCCTAGAATAAGAGAAAAGCTAAGAATAAGAGAAGGAATAAAAATTGACAGTTCCTAATGAGCTGACAAGTCTGACACCTTATGTTGGGTATGTATCTTTTTTTTTTTTTTGCAGGGGGCTGGTGGTGGTGATTTGGAGGGGATGGCAGAGGGAAAGGGAGAGAGAGAATTCCAAGTAGGGTCCATATCCAGCGTGAGCCCGATGAAGGGCTTGATCTCACCAACCTGAGATTACGATCTGAGCCAAAAGGAAGACTTGGACACTTAACTGACGGAGTCACCCAGGTGCCCCTCCCCTTTTCTTTTTTATTATTTTTTTTTAATTAAAAAAAAACCCCGGAATCACAAAGTTTAATTTTGGTAAAACCTTTTTTTTTTAACCACTTAAATGTATGAGTATTTTTCCATTCATTAGTTATTTTATGAAAACATAATTTGTAATGGCTTTAAGTACAGTTTATGTCAACATTTCATTCTTACCCGAAATTCTGTGGTAAAGTCAACATTTCTCCCAACATTAAAATTTCTGCACCATTTACAGTTGAAGGATCATCTCTCATGAGTTGGTTAAAGAGCTCTCCTATAGAAAGAGAAAAACATAAATTCTAACATCTATCTTGTAAGTAAGTTTTACCTCCATAAAGAAACAGCTGGGAGAAACACTTAAAAAAAAAGAATCTTAACAAAAATTATATTACAAATATCTAATTTATAATCTTCACTGCAACAAATGCATGCCAAAAAATTCTACTTTCATGGACAATGAACACTTCAGAAACAAAGGAAAAAGAAGGTCATCAGATACAAAATATAGAGAGTTCCAATAATTTTAAATAAAGGGAATGGCTAATACACATGTTGATGGAACATGTGAGGATAAATAAAATTTTAATATCATGACTATGAATGTATCCTTACTAAAATTAAAAGTTTCTTGTTGCCATGGGAAATCAACAGTATCTTGACTTAGAGATTATGAGTAAGACCTACACTTAGATGGCCACCACTTACAGCATACAAAAAGAGACAACAAAGAATGCAGCAAAAAGTTAGTATAAGACTGGCAAGACTATGCTTATTCCAAGGTAATATAGGCAATCCAGGTTTCAACTTTTCCCTAGGTGCAAGCAGAACAAAGCATACCAGGTAAGTCTTTTTCTTCACATGTTACTGGAATATTGGTGAATAAAGTAGGCTTAGTTAACCGCATCACTGTGAATTAAGAAAAAAAAAGAAATATTAATACTGCTTTGGGCTAGCATTCCAAGTTGAGTGTATGATACCCATCAATTCTATACTAAAATCAAATATAACCTAAAGCTTCCTAAATATAATAGTAAGTATTCCCCAAATCACACACCAATGATTTACTAAAAATGTTAATTTACAACAGAAAATCTTACATATGATTTATTTAAAACCTAATGTATTGTAAAAATTAAATGTAAATGTAGAATGCCACATTATAGAAAAGCTGAAAAATAAAGGAATTTTAAAGCTTAAGGTATATGAGAATAGGCTTTAAGAAAAATCCTGAGTGACTATGAACAATATCAAGATATCTTCCTGAAAGGGAAAAATATTTTGATTCACCATCTTGAATATGAGACAGTAATTTTATAAAAAAATGAATCTTTACGAGCTTTCTTCTCTCGGTTTTAATCCCTGGCCACTGGAAGTTCAGTAAGTGGACCTTTAAGTAATATTAATTCTGTAAAGAAATTACAAAAGTATCACTTAACGTATAGCTTTGTAAAATTCCAACTGAAACTAAGATTTGTTCTTGAGACATGACAGTATGTGTCTGAAATTTAGAAAAACAAGTAAAAATAAGCTAAGGAAATTAGTGGGAAAAAATGAGGAAGAAATGGATTTACCATATATTAAAAGATTTAAGTCTATAATCAACTAATTGGCTTATTAACGCAAGACCACACAGATTAATATTAGATAGTTATAAAAAGATTAGGATGCAGAAAAAAAATTAACATGATAAAGTGCTAGCACACTGGTTAGCTATCTGGGAAAAATAAAAAATTTAATTTACAAATTCAATTGAAGTATCAAATAAATTGCCTATGTATCAAATAGTTAAGAGGCAAAAATTAAGCCACAAAAAACTTTTAAAAAGTGAAAATTTATGAAACCTAGTCAAGTAAGGATAAGACTTTCTAACTAAAAAAAAATCTTTTTCAATTATTTCTAAAGACTGACCTTTGATCACATCAAAATAAAGACAAAAATGTAACATTAAAAATCATATAAACTTGTGAAATATTTCAGAAAATTAATTATAGACTATTTCTTTATACTCTATTAAAAATGTTCATTCAAATCAAACCCAAAAACCTTTAAAGACTATTGACCTAAATGGTCAATTCACAATATAAGTGGTATCATTAGCATATGTAAACGTGTACCACCTAACTACTAACTAGCTATGTCATTCACACCAAATTTAGTGCCCTTCTCATCCTGGTCTCAGGCTAAATGTCATCTTTTCCAAAAAAGAAGTAACAGTTCACCTTGTCTTTCTCATAGTCCCTTATATTTGTCATGAACTGATATGTGTACTTATTTACAGCACTCTGATCCACGCTCCATGAGGTTGAGGCTCTTTTTTTTTTTTTTTTTTTTTTTGAGGTTGAGGCTCTTATGTATTATATTCAGTTTTCTTGCTTTGTTGCTTGACATAGTTTCTGACACATAGTATATTCTAAAATCTTTGCTGAATGAAAGAATTAGCACCTCACCCAAATCCTCATTAACTGGTATTATTTTGAAGACGTTAAGTTTTATGAACTGAGGCCATTAAACAATGTTATATTAAATAGATGGCTGTTGAGGGGGCCTGGCTGGCTCTTGGTCTCAGAGTCCTAAGTTCAAGCCCTACGCTGGGCACAGAGCTTACTTAAATAAAATAAAATAAAATAAAATAAAATAAAATAAAATAAAATAAAATAAAGTAAAAACATAATATAAATATAAATGGATGGCTACTGAAACAGGCAACAAATGTTAACCTTAAAATTTCTCAAGTCACTTGCATAACATATATACTGAGCATTTACTAGTGCTAGACAACATGCTAAATACTTCACAAGTATCAACACACTAAATTCTCATGACTACAAATTTGGTACCATTATCTACCTTTTATACATAAGGATGATGCTTGGAGAAGGTAATCTGCATATAAAAGACTACAGCAGATAGGTGGCAGAATTAGATCTGAACTCAGATAAATTCACTTTGTTCAAAATCTCTATATTATTAATTGTAAGACTGGAGTCATAAGCCTGGAATGTCATGCCTTATCAGAAACATCCTCTGGGAATTCAAAATAGGACTCCATGTCAAGCAGAGTATTAACCAATTAACCAGGTCATTGACGAGGCCCTGGAAGTGGTTGAGGGAGGTTTTCTAACTTTCTACTTCACTCTTACTTCTAACTAGGAAGGAAGATTAAAATTAAGTACAATCTGAAGGGGATAATAAAGGGCTCTAGAAATGATAAAGAAGAGACAGTTTTTTTTTTTTCACAATCTAAATATCTAAGACTCTAAGCTCACTTTTTTTTTCTTTTTCAATTGGAGAGAGAGAGAGATATCGAGAGAGACAGAGATAGCAAGAGAGAGCATGAGCGGGGAGGAGAGGGAGAAGCAGGCTCCCCGCTGAGCAGGGAGCCTGTCTGCGGGGGGAGGGGCTTGATCCCAGGACCCTGGGATCATGACCTGAGCTGAAGGCAGACGCTTAACCGACTGAGCCACCCAGGCACCCCTCTAAGCTCACTTTTAACACCAAGTGGTGTTCTCTATTCCCCATTTTTTTTTTTCATTTCAGAAGAAACCAAATCTTTTTTTTTTTTTTAAAGATTTTATTTATTTGACATAGAGAGAGACAGAAAGAGCACACAAGCAGGGGGGAGCGGCAGAGGGAGAGGGAGAAGCAGACTCCCAGTTGGGCGCAGAGCCTGATGCGGGCTCAATCCCAGACCCCGGGATCATGACCTGAGCTGAAGGCAGATGCTTAACTGACTGAGCCACCCAGGCACCCCCAGAAGAAACCTAATCTTAATAAAAATACACTCTTCAAGGGAATCCTAAAACACTCTTTTTAAAAAGTGTCCTTGAAAATACCATGTGATTTCACTCATATGTGGAATTTAAGAAACAAACCAGCAAAAGGAAAAAAAAAGAGAGACCAATCAAGAAATGGACCCTTAACTACAGAGAACTAATGGTTACCAGAACAGAGGTGGTGGGAGAATGGGTTAAACAGGTGAAAAGGATTAAGGAGTGCACTTGTATTGAGCACCAGGTGTTGTATGGAAGTGCTGAATCACTCTTTTGTACACCTGAAACTAATATTAAATGTATGCTAACTAACTGGAAATTAAATAAAAACTTAAAAAAAAACAAAGTGTTTTTGAGTTCACCCAAATGTGTAACCAACTTATTTGCTTATTATATGCTCAAACTTCCATTATGTACAAAAGTCTTATAAAGCTTAGTTTTACTGATTCTATGATTTTCTAGGGGATGAGATAATAGAGGGTGGGTAAAGAATAACCCTCCATTAAAAATAAAAACTTCCCAAACTGGTATTAAAAATACCTGTTTCCATCATATTTTCAGAGGGAAAAATCAATGGGGGGAGACTGCAGTTGGTAAGAAATACTATCATCCTGTGGACTCAAAGAAAACTACTATAAAGCACAGTTCGTCATACTGCAGATTCTTAAACACAAACTGGGAAAGTCCAGTTAGTAACGTAAAAGTATCTCATATTAAAACTCATTGTGGTATATATATTTATTTATATATACACCACACACACAATGTGGTATATGTGGTATATATATATACTTACAATGTGGTATATGTGGTGTGTATACACACACACACACACACAATGGAATATTATGCAGCCATCAAAAAATTGAAATCTTGCCATTTGCAACGACATGGATAGAACTTTACGGTATTATGCTAAGTGAAATAAGTCAATCAGAGAAAGACAACTGTCATATGATCTCACCGGTATGTGGAATTTGAGAAACAAGGAAGAGGATCATAGGGGAAAAGAGGAAAAAATTGAACAAGACAAAAACCAGAGAGGGAGACAAACCATAAGAGACTCTTAATCTCAGGAAACAAACTGAGGGTTGCTGGAGCGGTGGGGGGTGGGAGGGATGGGGTGGCTGGGTGATGGACACTGGGGAGAGTATTGTTGCGGTGAGCACTGTGTAAGACTGATGAATCACAGACCTGTACCCCTGAAACAAATAATATGTTAATAAAAAAAAGAGAGCACTGCTTTGCAAACTACAAAAAAACAAAACAAAACAAAACTCAATGTTTCCTGTCTTATAGCAAATTAATGGACCTCAAATATTATACATAATGTTAGTTGGAAAAGAGCAACTACCAACAAAAGCAAGGCTTAAGAAACCTGGCAGAGGAACTATAATAAAGCACTGTTGTTTTTTTTTTTTAAAGATTTATTTACTTTATGTATAGAGAGAATAGATGCACAAGGCGGTGGGGCTTAGGGGAGAGGGAAAGAAGCAGACTCCCCAGTGAGCAAGGAGCCTGAAGCAGGGCTTGATCCCACAACCCAGAGATCATGACCTGAGCCAAAATCAAGAGTTGGAGGTTAGCTGACTGAGCCACTGAAGTGCCCCAATAAAGCACTGGTTATTAAATGATAATCTTATATTCAGGTTGAATGTTAAAAAACAGGTTCTTTGTCAAAAATTAAAGACGCAAAAAAGAGTATGTGATTTTCTGCCAAGTGCCAAATCAAATATTCACTACACACAGCAAATAGTGTCATGTGTAGTGCCATTTTCATTGGAACTCACAAAACACATTTATGAAATTCAGATTCCACCTATTATCTTATTAAAAAAACTTTTATAAGTCTTCAATAATTTATGAAAGAGATAGACCTGAGGTTACAAACTAATGACCGGGGCCAAGTTCAATTTGTGTACACATTTTGCTTGAAAAGAACATAAAAAAATTAAAGGAGAATCTTCTTAAAGTTCCAAGTCCTTAACTACGTTCTACAGTCTTGCCTGTCTAGTCCCTGAATGATTTCAAGTTTGTGAACTGTGAATTCTGGGCATTTTGAGCAAATTATATCAAAGTGATCATTATGCAGGAGCTCATTTTTGAAATTCTCAAAAAATGGTCTTTAAGCTATTT